TTCTTGTGTGTGTGTGTGTGTGTGTGTGTGTTTTTTGGGGGGAGGGTTGGGAGAGTTGGGGGAGTTACGTTTTATTAATTTTTATGCATGAAATTTATTTTTTGTTGGATTTATACTGTTCTTCAAAAGTTTGGGGTCGGTAAGGCTTCTCACCAAGACTGCATTTAATTGATCAAATTCAGTAAAAACAGTAATATTGTGAAATATTATAATTTAAAATAATTTTTTTTTAAATAAATAACATTTTAATTAGATTAATTTATACTTGTGACAAAAGCTGAATTTTCAGCATCATTACTCCAGTCTTCAGTGTCACATGATCCTTAAGGAATCAAGACATTTCTTATTATAGTCAATGTGGAAAACAGTTGTGCTGCATAATGTTCTTTTGGAAACGGATACACTCCTCCCCCCGCCTCCCCCAGAATTCTTTGAGTAGAGAATTCAAGAACAGCATTTATTTGTAATAGTATTTCATAGTATTTTAGTATTTTGTAAAGTTTTTATTATTTTTAAAAATATTTTATATTATGAAAGTCTTTACTGCCACTTTTGATTAATTGAATACTTTCTTACTGAATGTTACTGTTTTCCAACAAAAAAATACACTGTTGATGGAAGTGTAGCTGAATAGTTTTGTCTGTTTTACCCAGATTTACTGCGCATGTTTTTCGACGCGTTGTACGACGAGGACGTGATCAAAGAGGAAGCCTTCTACAAATGGGAGTCCAGCAAAGACCCGGCGGAGCAGCTGGGGAAGGGTGTGGCCCTGAAGTCCGTCACTGCCTTCTTCACTTGGTTACGGGAGGCCGAGTCTGAATCAGACAACAGCTAATCCTGAACTTTGCTAGCCCAGGTAGCACTGGAGAGAATCTGCTGCCAGGGACTAATGAGAGGAGGATGTCTGACAACCAAGTTGAACTTGATCCTCGTAAAGCCAATCTTATCTGATCAGGATGGCGCTTGACAGATACAAACTACAATCATTTCTCAGTCATTTCTTTTGCTCTCTATATCGGTTGTGGCTAGTGTCCACCAAAAACAATAAAATTACAAAAAAAAAAAAAAATCTGCAGGACTGCATGAACGTGTTACCAATTCATCGTCATTTATTTTTAATGAGAAATTCATGGGGGAAAAAGTACAAACCAACGCTGCTCTTACATGTTAATATAGATTTATATGCAACGTGGTATATGACAAACCAGACATGGTGTCATATATATTGTGTAGAGTGCATGATGGCGATCATGTCCTTTAGGTTTGTAATGTCGGATCAAACGCAGAGCTCTTACAGGCGTTTTCTTTCGTGTGTGTGAGAGGAATCGTTTTTTAAATCCACGAAGACTGATACATGAGCGTAGTATTCAATGAATTCTCTTAAGTGACGAATGAAATTTGAGTAGCGTTTGTATTTCGCCCTTTTTTGCTTCCTGTATCCTTTAATAAGGGGTGGACCTGTTGAACTTCGGGATGATGGTCATGGATGGACTTTGACCTTTTTGACCTTGGTGCTGCTGGATGAGGAGGGGATCCAACATGCTTCCTACTAAGCCATCCTTGTCCTGCTTCCTACCCCACACTTTTGCGTCTTACCTCTTACCATCTCTTGAAGAACTGATGGGGGTCTTTAGTGGAAGCCCCACTCGAGCAAGCCTGCGGTGGAAATTTTAAGAGAAATCATTAAAACTTGAAGCATATAGAAAAATCAACTTGATGAAATGACAGTAATGATCCTAAAGCCTTTTCTACTTGCAAAGTGGAAACACATTTCAGGAGCGTTCTGTACATACATATGGAAATGTTGTTTTTTGGTTTATTTTCAGAAATTAAAAGTTTAAAAATCTGATGTAATGCCATTTTTTTTTTCCTAACAAAAAAATGGCAGTTTCCCTGTATTTAAGATGTGTTAGATGGTAAGAGGTGCTTACAATGATCCATTGATTAGTTTTATTGAAAGAAATGTGTAAATATTTTTTGCGCTCTTTATTATTTAAGGAATTAAATGCTTTCGCATCAAACTGGAAAACATTGGAGAGATGAAACATTGCAAATAATAAAAGATGATCAAGTTGCGAAGTAGAGTGTGTTTGAGGGATTTGGAGTCTGGGGTCAGTATTTTTTTTATTTTTTTTGCATAAGCACGTTGTGGTGTTTTCAGTGTGGAAAAGGTGCAGTATGTTTTCCCTGTGGCGAAATTCAACTTTGGTGCTGTAGTGAATCTGTCTGCCAGAAGAGGGCCTGCTGAACAGATTGTTCAAACCTATGTGACAGGGCTTTGCTCAAATGCTTAATTTGAGCTGTTGTTTTTTTTTTTTTTGGACTAAAGAAAAGTACAGATTGCTGGGGACTGCTTCGGTTTTCAAAGTTTTTAGTTTTAGTATTAAATGTAAAGATGAGCAGCTTTGATCTGGACTGGAAACATGGGAAGAAAACCGTTGTTTTTTCAGATAAACTTAGCATGTGTAGAGAAAAAAAGTAGCCAACTTGAAAAGAAATTGACGTTTATGCTGGTTTATAATCTGCTATACACTAGGTGTGTGCTACTAATATTTATAAGTCATTCCATGAAATTAGTGCCTTTTTGAAAAGGTGCTTTTAAGTTAAATAAGAATTTAAGAATTCTATCAGACAGTGAAAGTGTTAATTGTGTTGGGAACTTGGGACTGAATTTTAATATTTCAAGATAGATATGCTTAAGGCAGGGCTCACAGTTCATTATGAGCCTTTTGCTCAAGGTCATGACACCAAGGTTTTTATTAGAGAATTTAATGTTGATATTTCAAATGCTCTGCAAAAATCCTGGCAACAAGTTGACTAAATTGTCCCCCACTGACAACTTGTATTTATAGCATAATATATGGCAAAGTATGAACTCCTATTATTGCAGGATGTGGACTTTGTCTACCTAATGAAAATGGGCATATTTGCTAGTAGAGTAAGCAATAGATGATGGAAAAGGTTATTGGGTTTTTGCTGAAATAGGTTTGCTTTTTAAAGTCATTGTCCACATAAGGAACTATATATGAATATATATTCATCTTCAAGCAATTTTCAACGTGTGCTTAAGGACAAATTGTCAGTAGAGACAACCTAGTCGCAGAAGGTAGACCGATCCTCTAACGAGTTATTTTAAACCACAACCCACCCTTGAGACAGAACTAGCTTATTACACTTTTTCCATGTATCACATGCACAGCTGCAGTTATGGCTTCTGACTGCTGCTGAATTAAATATTTATTTTCCTCTGAATGTGCTGGGTAAAAGCAACAGCGTTGAGGTTTAAATTGATGCATCATTGGCTGTCTGAGACAACAAAACCTATGATCCATCCATGCACGATAATACACTAGATATAAAGGCAACCATTTATTCAGAATGTGTTTTCCTAAACTTACTGGCTTAGGAAGCCTTATAAGCATATTGCTATGCAGCAGTGTCCATGGGATGAATAACATGTTTTTGATTGAATTATCTAAGGTGCTACTGACTACATTAGAAGTGAGCAGATGACACATTCTTAACCCAGGGAATAAAAATGTATTGAAGAAACATCCAAGTATGGCAAGCTGGTTATACATTTATTCTTTAAACTAGTTTTTCTGTTGGTAGTTTATTATTATTATTACTTTTTAATTACTAGTAGGTAATCCAATAGTGACTAGTATTTTATTAAGCCTAACAATTATTTTTGGTATCTATGAAGTTAGTCACTTATTTGTTTACTACTAGTCTGGATTGTATTGCCAGAATGTTCTAACTTAAACCTAACCTATCTGTTTAGTAACCATGATAATTTCACTTAGGAAATTCAACTTTTTTAAATCTAAAGTCAAGGATAAACATAGGACACTTCTGTAATACAGCCTAGTGTAAAAAGTGCCATTTTATTTTATTATATCAGCTACTAGTATGTATTCCAGTTTTTAATATCTATTTGTGTTTTACCGTTTTACACATTGTTTATTTGGTAGTAGAAATTCTCCTTGTATGAACTAAATTACCTAATATACACTAATATCTTTTCCGATTTTTAATAGTGACTTATTTTTACGTTAAGATTTTTTAATTGATCTATAATATAGCCATTCTGACTAGCTGTATGTCAAATAAAAAAAGGAATCCGTGTTACTAGGATAGATACCAGCAAAACTCAAACTAACACTTAACTATTGGGACTATATATATATATATATATATATATATACACCATTCACAAAATAACTTAAAGTAGCATCTCAAGTCGTGACTGAATGAACGTGCAATGAGAATCAATATCAAAGATGGCGGCAGCAATCAGTGGACAGTGGAGCGTTTGACTCTGCAAATGTGTAGAACAGAACTGAAGAGAGCAGCTCCGGTGGAGAAGAACAGTGACGGAATCTAAACCTTCAAATGATGCATAGTTCATGTCTCCACTGCTGTAAGTTAGCAAAACATGATAAGACATGTGTTTGTGCAGTTCAGAGTGGCTCTCTCACATCGAGAGATGTGACAGACAACTAATTGTCCAGTCCGGTTCCGTACACAGTGCAGGTTTTTTTTTTTTGAGTCCTGAAAATTTATGGGTGTGAGAATGCGGTTGTCACTCCCATAAGTAACCGTACTGGGGTGCGTTTCCCAAAAGCAACTATGGTCGCAAGTTCTGTCGTTACCAATAGAGTTCAATGGAACGAACCACCATAGTTAGCTAAGGATGCTTTTGGGAAACGCACCCCTGTTTATAAACTGTATTAAGGACTCAAATACAGGACTTCTGTGTAAACGTGGCCACTGATTGGAGTAAGTACTAGATATGTGTAACTGAGTACCTACTAGTAATTAATGTAAGTACTACTTACATAAAAATATATTAGTTAAGTTGTAAATGTTAAGACGGCTTGCCATACATAGTACGATGCACTCATCGCTCAGGCTCTGTACGTGTGAAAGAGACGCGTGTGTCTTTAAGAGAGCCGCATTACAGGTGGGATGACGCTGTCTGAGAGACTCGGTGTGGTGGGGACGATGCGCTTCGTGGGTTAACCGCACTCATTTCTGCCCGTCTCTGATGCTCAAGAAAAGGTGGTGTCTATTATTCACTGCCGAAGACGGCTCCGCGATTCTTCTCTCCAGACCCAACGCTAATGCTGTATCCATGTGCAATGCTTTTGACAGCTTTACCCCAACTAAATCTAAAGGTACGTGTGTATTGAGTGTCACTGGCCAAACGCTCATCGATTTTCGCTTGCACCATCAATGTTTTTGGACTGTAATGCACGTGTTATTGCGCTGGTGTTGTTGAGATCGCAATAGGCCGTCACGTACAATGCGTGAATAATATCAGCGCTCGCCTGTTGCCAGGAAACAAACGCGCTGTTGCTGTTACACTGTTGTTTATGAAAATGAGCGGCTTGTCAGTCAATCAGTCAGTTCTGGGCAGCAGATAGACTTTTCGTGTGCTGTCGTGTCACCCTCACTTCTGTGATGGGATTCATTTATTAGGGCCTGATCCATTACTTAAAGCGCTCAGTTATCCGCAAAATACATCTGTTACTAATCGGTTATTTGTGGCAGTACGGTCATACACGGACTGCGTAGAAACAGATGGGCATTTCAGATCACTGATTGAATGATGCTAGTTTTTCATAATGAATAATGAAAATAATAATAATAATCGAACCAACCAAATCACTATAAACCCTGGTAGCTCTGATCTAGCGGCACATTTTATAGAGCTGTGCCTGCGTGTTGTGCATGGTCAATGGGAATTCATGATGCTCACGGGTTACCTGTTGCTATAACGACCGGACCTTAAATTGCGTTAACTGCATTGTGTTGCTTTCCATGAATTGAGCTCAGGTGGCCTGTTTTAGATGCGTTTTCCTTCGCTGCAACTACATTTTCTGTTGCAATTGCTGTAATATATTTGCCCTTACACGGCTAATTGTATTTATATTTATTTCACACAGACACGCTGCAGCTCTTTTCACTCAGATGAAACAAATCTCAATGCGTGACCTCTTTCCATCCCTGACAATTTCTCTGTATTTAATGTTTCCTGTTTATAGCGAAATCTTTTGTGTGCCCTATAGGCCATGCAGATTGATTTTGTATTTTTTTTTAATTTGTTATAAGTATCATACTCCAATGTTATTTTTTAGGACATGTATACCATGTTTTTTTTGGGCATGTACCATGGTAATACTATGTTTCTAGACATAGTGCCATGTAGGGATATGCCGGTATCAAATTTTCATGTTGCGATTAATTGCTAATGCTTTTATCACGGTATACGGTATTATCCCGGTATTGAAATTTAGTCTGTGCTATACGTGACAGAGTATACAAGTTATAGGCCTACTAAAATATGCGGACATAATTTTTTATACCATATAAAATAAGTAAAACAATCCTGTCAGTCGGGGTTCTGTATATCCGATAGATCCGTTATACCGGGTTTTTACAGTTAATCCCATGTCCAGGAAAATAAACACACACGGTCGGAGACAAGGCATATTAACACAAAGATGACCATTTCTGATAGAGTGATGTATATCTTAATAATTAGCTATTTACAGTGCGACGTCTGCATATCAATCTTGTTGTATACTGGATACAGCACTGATGTGCATCCTGGCGATAACATATGAAATGCAGGCTATTCAATAAATAAATAAAGCTTTGAAGTTGCCGGTATAGACGAAAACATCGCGGATGAATTTAGACATTAAAGTTTTTACATTGTAATGTAATGTAGGTCATCGTGTAGATATGTAATGTAGGTAAAAAACCCTTGCTACATGTACTGCGTTAGACTTCACTTAGACCAAGTCGCTGTGGATAACAGCGTCTGCAAAATGATCAAATGTAAATAAAAATATGAATTTATTCGAGACCTACTACAGCGCATGCGCGTAAAATATCCACTACGTAGTGGATATAGTCCAGCAACGTCATCGTGCTGCAGGCTGCAGCGAGGACAGACTCTTCTCGTCCACGCTTGTGTACACTAGAGTGCGGCACGCGTCTTTCACGCAGCATACAGCGGTGTTGTGCATTTTGACCAGTTGATGGGAAAAGTATTCTTAAAATGCATTCAAAATTCTGAATAATTTGTAATATATAATTATTCACGGTATTTAGATGTGCCCACGATAACAATATCGTGCATATTCATTACCGTGATATATCGCATTACCGAATACCGGCACAAGTCTAGTGCCATGGTAATACTAACTTTGTTTGTTTGTATTGGGCAAAGCATCAAGGTAATACCATGTTTTTTTTAGGACATGTATGCTATTCTACTACCGTGTTTTTGGACATTTATCATGGTAGGTTGCTTTTTTGAAAATAAAATTATTTTAAAATAATTTATTATATAATTAATTATATTAAATAAATTTTTTTTAATGTCCTTCCAAATTATTTCGTAGAACATGTTCTATGCTAATACCATGTTTTCTGGGCATACTATGTTTCTGGGCATAGTGTCATGGTAATGCTATGTTTTTGTGCTTGTTTTGGACATATGTCGTATGTCCGTATCAGTATGGTGCTTTATTTATTTATTCATTTGTTTGAAAGTAGTACCATGTACATTGTTTTAGGACATGTAATATTGTAATGC